TATAATTAACAATATATTCAAATGTCACGTAAAGTTTCTTGTTTTTCAAATACAAACTTTTTGCGTATGCGTTAAGTAATTCTCAACTGTGCGAAGCATCTGTTTGTAAGAGCGCCATCTTCAGCGTGTAAGAACGTACGATTTAAATTTGAGCATGCGTAACCTATGCGTGTGCTACTGAGAAATAAAGATTAAACGGTGGGAACTTCAAATTGATCATAATCGAAAAGATAAGAACTAATACAAAAGAAAATGCGACAAACTTGGAAATCTACTATTAATTTCGTTTGTGACTGAATAAAGAATAATTTCTAGATAATATTTCGATTTATTATTAAATGTACCTACACTACTATATTATATAAACCAGGGGGCAATACAATGTCTTTATTATTTCATAAAGTAGTAAATGTCTCATTTGTATGTACGCGATAATATTCTAATAATTATACATTTCATCTATAGGAAATGGAATCAATTCAACAAAGTTTGCCAAATCGGTACACAGACTATCACAAAGTTGATTGCTGGTTCGGGTTCGTACATGGGGCGTTTCTAAAATGATCGCAGTCGCGTAGACTATAAGAACACGTCTAGAAACAGTTTCTTTCTATTGATAAATTTTGTTTTCAACATCTTCAGGAATTATTTGTTTTTTTCGTTTTAATAATTTCGTAATTTTAGGTATTGTTTGCGTTAATATTCTCCTTGAACATGTAAATATTTCAGTCTCATTTTTAATGAAAAGGAAAAAGAAAAAATTTAACGCTTGTATACAGTTTAGAATACACCCGGTACGCAATATCGTACAAAGTACGAGTTACTTAATAATCATAAAATGACACCGTAATATTATACTCTGTAATTACAAATACAATGAGATATCATAGTTTTTTTTCATTTTCTTTGTATATTAAGAATATATTCCTAGGTACTTTGCGATGGCGTGCGACTATCCTACATGCTCTGCTGAATTTATATAAATATTATTAACGCTGTGCTAAAATATATAAATAAATATTTGAAAATTTACAAAAATTAGCAAATTATTCATTGGCATTAAATGTTACATTCAATTTTTAATGATAACATATCTAACAAATTTTACAAATTCCATAAAATCTACAGAATTTTTAAAAATTCAGTACCATTGCAAATAAAATGAATATTCACGTTTCGCACATCATCGGTATCTCTTTCACCCCAATATATTACTAATTTTATTATATGTAATTTCCTATCTCTTATTATTTAATCGGCTTAAGCGCTTTTTTAACAAAAATGTATAAGCATACGCAAAACAACTTACGTGTACCACAAGCGGTGTATAACTTAATCAGCTTCACCCATCCCTTAATGTACCTAATAAATAATTCATTCTATGTACAAATCGAATTTTTTTAAAACGCTCAAATCCACAAAGACAGTTTTCTAAAATATCAAACACACTTGTTCATTCGCCGTAGCGTTGTGCATACTCAACCACGATAATTACTCTCAGAATAACGATATTATTTCGTGCTTCCAAAACTTTATTAAAGTTTTAACAATCAAAATTCAAACATTAAATATTCACGTTATATCTGTTATTCTAACAGTACCGTTTATAGTTTGTTTTGTTACGCTTTGGTATGGCACTAACGATTATTTTAAATTCTTTTAATTAAATATTAATGCAGATGCAAGTTATGCTTAAAGAAAGGAAAAAAAATGGGAGGAATCAGATGTTTTACTGCGTTTAATAGCATGATTTTTTTTTAGCATTCTTGGCTTTGCATTTGTGCATGTGCACCCATGAGACTTATCTTAAAGTTCTAAACAATAGTGCAATTTAATTAATGTTTTAAATTATCATTTCATATATAGCAGTCGAATCTGTTGATTCAAAATAAAACTATTATGATAATAAAATTTGTTGTTCTTCACTTTTATGTACTTCACTAAAATGTACAAGTTTAAGAAATTTCTATTTCATATTAAACGTTTTTGTCTGTAAATGAAGGCTATTCAACAACAAAGTTATTGCAAATACTAGTTATAAGAATAACTCTTTAAAGACAAGAAATATTAAGCACTGTCTATACTTAGAAGGACTAATTTATATTAGTATAAACACATTTTTATTCCTTTAAAGGTTCCACTTTAATAACTGATTATCTTAACAGTATAACAAAGTGCACAAAAATAATTTTGTCATTTTTTAAACTAAATTTAAATAAATTAAAACCAGCTCTTAAAATTATTAGGCCATACTTAACAATTAGATCCGTTTGTTTAAATTTGTTGAATAAAAATAACCTTCTTTTACTACTTTACACATATAGGAAACAATCTTTCAAGTGGAACTTGTATTTACAGTAGTCAAACTAAAATTATACAAAAATATAAATTAAGTATACTAGAACCAGAATACTTGTAGCATAGAAATGCATATATTGATACAAATAGTTTAAGTCCTTTCATGAATAATTGAAAAATGTAAATAAATATAAGGAATGTTTTACTTAAAATATGTGTACAATTAATTTAATTAAGAAACCTGATGCCAATAAGTCTCATAATGTTTGTATGCATTGCTTGTTTCTCTTTTGCATTTGAATTAAGCAGATGCATCTATAAGAAGGTATTTTGTACTATTTTTGAAATAATATTTGTGTACTGCCTTTTCATTTATCAGGACATTTCTTAACTGACATTTTAATAATAAAAAACGTCATTAGCCGATCACAGCATTAGATATTGTCACATCACCATATTTAATACATATAGAAAGTATTAGATAAATTTTCAATCAGATCCAACTGCCATTGAAAGAACATTTCAGTGCCAACTTAATCATTATCTGAGAATATGGAACATGGCAGTTTAATGTTAAAGCCAAAACACTGAGCTTTCCGTATAAAACTGGATGTTTGCTAGTTTATATAATACACAGTGTACATCAGTAAAGATCAAGAATATTTTTTAACCTTCATGGAAATAAGTATGAAAACAAATTCATATAAACTTGTATCTGCAAGTGATTATTCTTTTAATTATACTTTATAGAGAATATTAATAAATATTAGATACATTTTTTTAAATTAATACATTGGTATTTCATTTATACATATAAAAGAATGAATTCACAGCTGCTTTCTATTGGATTTCTTCTTAAAAATATGAATGTAATTTACATATACAATACGAGAAACTTACTTTCCTCAAAAACATAACATATATTTATTCTATATATTTTCAATTCATAAATACAAACAAAGCTGTTTAAATACACAGAAAATATGTCTATCTTAATCTCTTCAATCTCTTCAATATATTTTAATGAGATTCAAACAATTATAAAAATATGAGATCAGTTTGAATAATTTAGACAATTCCAATAGTTAAATAACACGAATCGAAATAATAAATGAGCATTTTTTTTTAACTACTCGAAATATTTAAATAATCGAATACTTGAATTGGTTTGGTATAACGAGAGTTGTTTACTTCAAATGTAAAATATTCGAAAATTACAGGTACTGAAACAGCTCTAGATACAAGATTATAAAATTTTTTTTCATTGCTTTGACATATATAATACAAATTAAAAGAATGTTCTCGATTTTTATTAACGCTCTGCGTACACGAAAGATCCTAAAGAAAACCGATATACATCGCATTCGATACATGTAATAAATATATCTAAAAATATCAGATGAAACAACATTTAATAATAATAAAACCGTTTAGTTCTCGTTTTAAGTTTTTACATAAACTTTTAATATGAAAATGAGAAACCGATATAATAATTTTAATAACAATTTCTTAAATCGTTTTACTTCAATAGAAAAAGGTGCATATAACAGATATTGATCAGTTGTTTGATAATTTTGCTATGTAAAAAAGGGAATGTAATATTAAATTATAAACTTCTTTTTTGTTACATAAGATTACAATTTGATGAGTTTTGTATAAATTTTTCTTTTAAATTAAAAAAAATTATTCATATATTTCATTATTCCATGATTATTTGTTTTATAGGCGAAACACATATTTATATGTCTGAAAATAAAACACAAATGTATATGTATACAAAAAATGTACGAACTACGATGCTGGGTAGATGACTGTTCTGGTGTCATGATTACAAAATGTACAAGACTTATAAAATTAACTAACTCGTTAACTGCCACGCTTGCGTATGTATAAAGTTTAAGATATGTATTATAAGTTAACTAAACATAAAATACGTACAACAATTAGTGATAATTATTTTATTAATAATTCACTACAAAAACATTTAGCAACAATGAAGTGAAATGTACATTGCACAGAATGGCAGTGAACGCGTCAATATACCGTAAAACTTTCAAGAGAGATTTTTGGTTCTGTAGCTATGCACTACGTCCATTTTTAGCACAAGCACTCCATCCAGTTACAAGATAGAAACAACAAAAGTTTAGATGAGATAAAAGTTTTGCAATGTGGCCAATATTCAAAAACTCCTATAAACGACCAGTAACATTTGTTTTCATGCACAATACGTGATGCACACATTTTTAATGCGAGTTTCTGAATATGGTCTTATGTATTTGAAAACAGGATCGACTTATGAAATGCAAAAATTGAAAACATTTCGACCCATAGTTATACCATACTCTAAGCAATTCCAAAAAGAGTGTATGTTTTTCACACATTATTAATGGCTGTTACTTATTTCATTTTACATATTATTGTATAACCTTGACGCTTTCATGGTGCTTATATGTTACGTTGAGAAAATAATTTTTTTTTTATATAACAAGCAATGTGTCTAATTTATTCTTTCATAAATATTTAATTTTCTTTAAGTCTTCTTCATAGATCAATGGTTCCCGTAGAAATGCTTAATTTGCACGCAAGTTTTAAAGTATATCCATTTTTATTGATATAAGGAATAACTTCTACCTAATTAAAAAAAAATATCTCTAGCCACTGATCTCAGAATCATCGTACATTAATTGTTAATTATTGTATTATATCCAATAGTGAGCTTGTCGTAATGCTAAAAATTTTCGTACAATACGAATAGCTAGAAAGCACAAAATGTGTTATGGTTTCAGTATAATTTATTTTGTACTGAAATCTTTCTAGCTTGCTTTGGTTTTAGTTAATTTCTGGATATCACGAGTATGCAATAAATCTCTTACGTGACAAACGACATACGTTTAAACATTGTCTCATTTGTTGCCAATCACTGGTTTGTTCACGTGATTAAACGAGGACTATGTAAACCTTCGACTTGAGTATCAATTTGAGGACAATGTTGAGTATCTGGCGGGCCCCAATCATGTAAGTTTCCACTGTTAGCTAGTCTGTGCGTAAGTCGATGTGCTATCGAGAAGCCTCCACTACCTTCCAATTGTGTTAAAACTATGATAACTTGTCTACAATGAATTTTTCAAATTAACTGCTATAAATTTTATTTTCCAAATAATAAATAAAAAGAGTGCTTTACCTGTGAAGTGGGGGAACACTATCGGCAGTTCTGAGTTGTCCTCTTGTGGACACAACGTTATAACTTTCATGGCAGTCACATTTTACATGAATCCACTTATTTACATGACGATTTTCTACCATTACTACAAGTCCAGCCCAACCCTTAGTTAAGTAATAAGCAGTCATTCCCTCTCTTCCCTGTAAACGAACATTTTATAAATACTCAATTATACAAGCATGCAAGCATTTTTGGAAGCAAACACACAGATTACATAAGTAGCCGTACTTCGTGTCGCTGTCCTTTTGCTAGAGTTAAACTTATAATAGCATCAGCCAAAACAAATGCTGGTGGAGAAATTTGTTCAACTAGAAGTCTTTTTGAACTATGAATGGCAAGAACGTATTCAGGGTAACTGGAAGTATCTTCCATTCCTGTATGCCAGTGATTGAAGGCCAAACATACGACAATATATAAATCTCTTTCTAACATTTTGTGACATCCAACAAATCCACGTACTTGTCGCTTACTGTGTTCTACTAATCTTCCCACTTCTGGTGCTGCTGGAGAACGTGTACGGAAAACAACTACACATAAGTCCAACTGAGAACGTTGTGATTTTTCAGAGTTCCTAAATATATATATATATATATAATCGTTATATTATATACTTGCATTTGACAACATTAAATTAGTTCTGATGATTAAAGAACCGACGAGGTAAAATTTACCTTTGTCCTTCTTGAAATAATGTAAATTCTGTTTCAGTAGGCTCTAGTACTGTTAAAAGTACACATGACAAATGTCTGAGAGAAGATAAAGGTGGAAGTGTTCCGCGCAATCTGACTTCACTCCATCCAACTCTAGTTTTACAGATATCAATACAATCAAAATACTTCAATACATCGTCAAAGGAAATCCAGAAAACACCGTCCGATGCACCATGTGGCATAAGCATCTCTCGTAGTTGTGGCGTCCATATAGGACTGTCATCAGACCAATCACCTTTCCAACTATAGTGACCCCATGGATTACGCAATCTCAATAATCGTATTCCCTAACGAGTATATTATTTAAACAATTTGTTTCTAGATTCTTTAATTATGTGTGCATAAATGTGCGTATATCTCTTACCTGTACATCCCGCACATCGAGAACAGAATAAGCGTGCCTAAAAAAAATTTTTTATATAAAAAAAATAATCTTATTTCAAGTTTTCAGAATTTATGAAGTTTACCTCGGTCTTAAACCTTTACGTTGATACTCTTCCTCATCAACTTTCATATTGCCACCTCCACAACTAGCACCCATTAAAAACATAGCTTGCCTTGAAGATAAAAGTTGCGCCCATATTAAGTCCTTATCAAGTTCATCTTCACTTGGCAGAGCAGATGGTTGTAAAGGCACACTCTCACAAGGGGCACCTGTAAGTGTTGCTAGACCTTCTATAGCACGCCCTGATACTAAAGCTTCATAGCAACCATGAATTTTAGCCACTGCTTTTTCAATTAACGGCACCCAAAGTTGTTTTCTTTTCGCCTATATTTCATCAAAATTACAAGTAAAGAATAACAAACCTCTCTTTTTGTTTTTCATTTAAGTTAAATAAATACCGATTATCGATTCGTAATATTAAAATACCAGCCGAAGGGCGGTTGAAGTGCAACAACAAGAGCAATATGTAAGGATAGCATAGTCCAGGTACAATCCCAGGTATATACATATATGTAAGAACGCAAAGACTATCGGAGTACCTGACGAAGGAAGGAAAAGGAGGAGGTCAAAGTTTAGTGGCCAAGGCGAGGTGCGGAAACCTGGAAAGATGGAACAGGTACTGAGAGAAATAAGAAATTGCGAACTGTGTGGAGAAAAGTTCGAGTCTTTGAAAGAGGAGTCAGGATAGAATAGGTGGTGAGCGGTAAAAAGGATGAGAAGATAGAGAAATGGTTAGGTAGAATACACAAGAAGAAAAAAGAAATAGAAAGAAAAAGAATATAATAGGAGAAGGAGAGTCGGAATAGATAGTAGCAAAAGGTTAGACAAAATTATTAACAAGAACATACATAGTGAGAAAATAGGTAATCACAGAATGAGTGCGTGTGTTACAAGACAGAATGGAGCGTGAATGGATAAGGAAATAATGTATTGTAAACCA